AACCATGAGATGTGGTGTGGTGGTAGCTCACCTCATTCCTTAACCATGAGGTTGGGGGTTCGATCCCCGCCCATGGGAATGGAGCGCATTTCGTGGCCAGCCGTTTACCTCCATTGGGAGAGCTCCCGCGGCGAAAGGGATTAGTCATTGCTGTCGGCGGTGGATACCCTTCGGTCTCACCTAAAATAAACACGACCCAATTTTCTTAGTCAGCGACGCATAAATTCAAAGGAATCTACGACGGTTAATTACAAAAAAAATAGCCGATTTAAATTAAGTTACCACGACTGTAAATATAAATTTATCAACTTTTTAATTATACTATACTACGACGGTATCCATAACTCTACCGTCGCATAATTGTACTAACCACGACGGTTTGTTAAATTAACGACGTACAAATTTTATGCCATTATTCATCTATCATTACCAGAATGAACTCTGTTCCTCATCATAATCGAACCAGAATGAACAAAGGCAATGTTTTAGAAGTGGATGATGTGCCAATTACTCTCACAAGGAGTTTGAGGGCAAGAAGCTTGTCTCAGCCGCCAAGGAACTCAAGCTTGATGAGAGTGAAGACGAGGCAAAGAAGAAGGAAGAGTTGAAGGAGAAGCTTGAGGGACTCTGCCGTGGCCGTTACGGTTGGAGAGGAGGGAAGTGGAGAGAAGGTTGTTGAGGTTTGTGTGGTAAGTTGCCTTCGTTGGGAAAACAGAACTTGGACAGGTAACGTGGCTGAGCAACCACGAATTGAGTGATTAGGTTAATGAAGGTAATTAGTAGAATAATTAGAAAAAGTAACGAATGAGAGCTAATTGATTAAAATTATATACATGATGTTTATCAATTTGACTAATTGAATATGTTAAACAAGTAAAATACGTATGAAATAGTGAGAGGGCGGCTGTCGTTGAGTGGAGGGTGAGAAGAAGTGAGGACAAGGCCGGCGAGAATAATTTTTAAGGTTTCACCGCCCTTGTTGACCACACCCAAGTGCTTACGTTGTCGACATATGAATAAGTTCGAATTCCCACGGCATCATAGTTGTGTGTGTGAAATCCTCCTCCCCTATAATTAGACTATCGCTTGTATTAAAAATAATAATATTTTAATTTGTCGTGGTAAGTTAATAGGAAAGACAGCCAATCAAAGATTGGCCAGTTTAAACTCCAAATGTAAAGCATATGGACAACAAATATCATTTTCAAGTACATATGTTAATCATTCCAGGAAACTTCGTGCATTTTTCGGATGAGGAGATACGGTCAATTGTCCTGATAATTGCTCAAGATGATGTAGATCTATGAGAAATTATAATATGTGGGGTCTAGTCTTTCTAGTTTTTTTTTAAGAAAAAAACATATTTTGAATTCAAAACAATCTTTAGTTATGTAGACAAAGTAAACGATTTTGGGATAAAAATATTAGTTGATCCAGGTTTAATGACTGAATATTCTTTTTTAGGAAGGCGATAAGGACAAAATGGTAGACTGTCTCTTTGAACAATCGTCAAGATTATATAGAAAAGTAAAGTATGCTCAAACAGAAAATACTCAAATTTGTGTTCATAAATTGTCAACTTCATCAAGATTATGTAGATCTATCATTCTGGAAATTAGGCGCATGGAAGCTTTGTTTGACGCTGTCGAGTGGAGTTGGATCCCTCGCAAAAAGAACCGGGCGGCTCACGCTGCGGCTTCGTTTGGTACAAGAGCGGTGCATAGGGTCACCTGGCTGGATCAGCCACCACCGTCTCTTATGGGTGTTTTAACCTCTGATGGGCTTCCTTACCCCCCTGTCATTTAATATTCTGTTTTGCTGGGTTAGGATTCCTGCACTAAGCTGTGTCCAGCATGTGCTCCTTTCCCAGCGTATGCCTTTCTTGTATTCTCCTTTTGACTCCCCTGTTTGGGG